ACATTCCTAGCAACGCCTCCGGTGGTAGACAAGGCACGAACTTCGTTGTGGTCACGGAATGCAGTCATGCGCGAGCGGCGTGTGGGAACGGCTACGAACGCCATCATCTGCAGCCCTTTTAACATCTTTCAGTGCTGCGACCGACCATCCCCCTCCTGTTCTGCGACGACGCTGCATTATCTCGAATATCCCTCTCGCTTTCATTGCCCCCCTTTGCACCGCCCCGCCAATCTCAAGCGTCTTATTCCGACTGTCCCGATAACCGTCGGATATGGAGCACGACTTGTACTCACGCCCATACCCCGCTCCGTTGCAGACGTGCAACGTACTGAACCACAGGGAGCGCAGTCGTCTCGTCCGCAGCACGCGCAAGCTGGGGGCCGTGCTCGGGGCAACGCCCCAGCTTGCTGAAAATGTCGACTCGTCCTGGAACGCCTACCACGCAACCCACGTCGCCCTTCCCCTGTGCGAACCATCCAGCACACGTTCATCGACCTCCTCTGCACGCCCGCTCGTCAAGCCGCCCACGCGCCGGCACGCCTCCGTCTCCGAGCACCCCACCCGCGCGGATATCTACGCCTGCGCGTCCTCCGCGAGCTCGTCTGCTTCCCTCGCTGCACCCCCGCTCCCGCTCCCGCCCGCCCGCACGACCTCGCTCAGCGCGCGCTCGCGCAAGCCCAGCATGAAGTTCGGCATGTCCAAGTCGAAAGCGAAGCAGCAGCAGGCGCAGCCGCCGGCAGCGGACGCACCGCGCCCGCTCGCCCTACGGCTCGCCACCGGACCACCGCGCGCCCTCACCCTGCTGCCATCGACCCCATCACGGACGCCAAAATCGCCCGCGACGCCGCTCTTCGCGCCGCCGGGCACGCCGTCCTCGTTCGGGAGCGCCGCGACGACGCCGACGACGCCGGTCTTCCCCTCGGCCGCCGAGACGCGCCGGCGGCGCATGGCGAAGCTCACGCGCACGCTCGGCGAGATCATCCCGCCGCACCTCGTCTTCGGCGCGCGCAAGCCCCCCGGCAACATTGCTGCGGGGGACGCCGAACAGTACGGCGTCGTCGTCTCCGTCGAGGGCGGTGCGAAGCCCGCGGACGCCGGCCTCATGCCGCCGGCGCGGACATCGACGCGGGTGCGCCGCAGCATGTCGGTGGACCTTGGCGGCGCCCTGCCGCTCGCACGGTCGTCGCGAGTGTGGGTGACGGGGAGCAGCGAGTGGCGGGGCGAGTGGAATAGAAGGGACATTCGCGAGGTGCAGCAGGGCCTGCGATCACTCAAGGCTCGCTGAGCGAGCGTTGGACACGGTGCGGCTGCTGATTCTTTTTCTGGCTGTTCTCCGAACTTTGAGATGTTGCATTGAACTTATTGTAGACTTTGTCGAAATTTCACGCTGTATCTGCTCGAGTGTACGTGCTTTGTAATGATGTCCCGTAATGTAGTGTACTTTTAATTCGCGTTCTTATACTCTCACTTCATGCTTTGTTATCATTAGCTGTAGCCATATGCCTGTATCATAAACGTTACCTTATGTCTATGTAACCAGCTGCTTAGTCTCGTCGTTTCGTGCGTTCATACATACAAGTATACCATTACCTTCACAACGCAACAGTGATGCACAAGAACCAGAAGAGATCTAGATATCTATAGATGTCCAAAGAGGATACGGCGGCGCAGACGGCCGTTGCAGACGACGAGGCGAGCCCTCGACTGCTGCTACAACGCCTTGACAGGCGGTATCGCAGGCGACGGCGTGAGTGAACCTTCGGTCGGGGGTTCATTGGGGTCTGCGGGAGTGCCCATGCGTGCATGCAGCTTCTTTGCATTCAGAAGTTTGGCGTACTTGGGTTGGATGAACAGAGCACTGCGAGATGTCTGTCAACGGTTTCCACAGAGACGATGCCGAGCGGAACTCACTTGGCCTCTGCAAGGACCTTGCCGTCGACATCCTCTATCACGCCTGATACCTTCACCTTGCGGCCGTTCAGCTCATCGAGTTTGGTCTTGATAATGATGAACTGAAGCCCAGGGTCAGTGAGGGCCAAAAGGCGGTGGTGCCAAGCCGACGCACCTGATCCGCGCGTGTCGGTGCACGGTAATTAACGTTGAGGTATGCAGTGACACCGATCTTGTCCGGCAGATTGAGCAGAGCCTGCCGTGCACAGCTAGCGATCAGCGCACGGATATCAGAGCAGTGCCTGGATGCGGACGTACTATGCGCCCGAGCGACTCGTCCAGTAGCGTAGCAAGCAGGCCGCCGTGCACGATGCCCTCGTGTCCGCACAGCCCCGTGCCGACGTGCATGATCACGACCGCCTCACTCTCGTCCTTGCGCGCGCGCACGACAGGCGGCAGCGCCAGCTTTGCAGGCCCGCGCAGGGTCCCGCCCGTGAGGCTGTTCGCGAGCTGCTCCTTCGGAACCGACATGTACGGCCGCGTCTCGTACCACTCGTGTGCGTCCGACCGTGTGCGCAGCTCGTTCAGCACCGGCAGCTTCTGCAGCCGGCTCTCGAGCTCCTCGGTGTACGCGATCGCGGACGGGTGGTCTGGGTCTGGCGGCGGTGGCGCGATGCGCGGGGTGATGAACGTCGCTATCTGGGGTGGGTAGAGCGAGCCAAGTGCGTAGGCGGTGGATGCAACCGATGCCATCCAGAGCACGCTCCGTAGTGGTTTTGACCATCCCGATGAGCCGGTGCTAGAGGACTCGGACGAGGTGGATGCTAGCCTGCGTGCAGGTTGGCGGGGAAGTAGAGTGTTTCGAGAGAGAGCACGAGAAGCCGCGAGGTTCTTTCGCCTACAGGTGGCGGCAAACATTGTCGACGATGCGCGGTGAGGGAGGAGGAGGCAGGAGGAGAACGAGCCATTCCGCCGAAGGGTGCTGTGACAACCACGTGATGCTTCACTAGAGTTTCTCCGAGTATTTGTCCGTGTTAGGATCAAAGGCATCCGCCTTCCAAAATGAGTCCCCATGGTGGTAGCTTTGACGCCCTCTGGAATGTAAGTCAGTTATCGTTCTCGTTATGCCAATTACAAGGTAAATTTGAGCTATTATGCATTAAGCATGATGCCGACGCATGACCTACCGTAGGCCCGGGCTCATCAGCTCGTTTGGGCACTCCATCGCTCCTGACGGCGCTGCTTATCACTATTCGCGCCCTGGCCTGCCGCCTGATCCTACGCTTTGCATTCATGAGACCAATAACGAGATTGAACAGGATTCCAGCGACCTTATTGCCCAAGCCGAATGCTGCTATGTGGCGATCTGCTGCTCAGAGGAGGTCAGTGTCAGAGATGTACGTAAGTCATAACGCTCACCTGGTATATCTTCCCCCCTAGGCTCGTGCCCTCCGTGAGGTTTCGCCGTGTCCTTGCTTCTTGATTGGGACCTCCGGCCCCCAACATCGTTGTCAATGGCGCAGTATTTGCGGACCAGATCATCTCGCAGCGGCTTGCCACCATTTACGCCGTCCCCAGCGCCACAACGTCAGGGAGGTCGCCGGTTGTCCAGACGACCTACCGCGTTGCTCGGTTCTTCCGTGCACTGAAAATTTTTCTTCTAGAGCTCGACGATTACTACACCTGTCTTACCATATTCGCCACGCCTCAGACCCCGCCTGGCAAACCTCCGTATATCGGTCCCCACTTCATCAAGTTCACCAGGACGGACGGATCACAAGTGACGCTCGAGTACACTGAACGCCTGTCGGCCAACTATCCTGCGAAGGTCGTGTTTTTAGCGCTCGCTGACACGGGTTCTGGGACGAAGTCGACGGTGGTGGTCAAGTTCACGTACGAGTACTCGCTCGAAGGCCACAAGGCCCTCCCGAAATGGACCCGCCACTTGCGCCGAAGCTGTGGTTCTGCGGGAGCAGGTCGAGAGCGTGAGCAACGTGTACGTTGTTGTTATGGACTTCGTTCGCTACTGCGATCGCGCGCTGTCGGCAACCGACCGGGAGTGTGTGCGCGATGCAGTGCGGCTGCTCCACGCCAGGGACCTCGTATTTGGGGACCTGCGCGAGCCGAACGTGCTACGGCGCCCGGAGGGCGGAGCGATGCTTATCGACTTTGACTGATGTGGCACGGCCGAGAAGGCGCGATACCCGAACGACATCCTGATGGGGACGTGCATGCCATGGCACGAGAGCGTGCAGCGCGGCGGCTTGATCACCAAGGAGCACGACATTCACCTTCTCAAGCAGCTTATTGGCGAGCTTCGGGACTAGCAAAACACGCACATCGGTGATGTCAGGTTTGTGCACGCACGTACTCGTGCAAAGGACACGGATTACTCGTTAAATCCTACTTCAGGTTTGTGGTACTGCAACGAGGCCGAGAGTGTCGGCGTGTTCGTCGTCAAGATGGATTCGGTGTTCCTATTGCATTCGCCCACTGTTGTACGCCGAACGCGCGTCCCCGCGCTCAGCAGTGGAAATTGTCCGCAAGAACGGCCTCGTGCATCAGCAAAACCGCCAGCTCTTGGGGAGCGTCTTGAGCGTCTTGGATAACATGCTCAAGACGCCCAAGACCCCAAGACATCCGGTGTTAGCCAAGCTATGTCGTTTGTCTTGGGAAGACGCCTGGTCTTGGCCAAGACTCTCAAGACAGTCAACCAAGACAAGCTCAATGCGGCATGCTTATGGGTAAGACGGACATATTGGCTCAATCACACTCATATAAAACAGCTACAAATTGTATTTGTATACTTCTACTAAGACTGTGTACGTGTACTACCTGCTTAACTTGACAATGACTACAATGAAGGCAGATTGCATGTGGCTTAACACAGGTGTACGAAGTTTCAAGGCTGGCATGAGATCTTCAAGTGTCAGTGAGAGTAGCGGCCAGTGGGCGGAGTACGAATGAGAACGTACCTCATCCGACCCAACGCACGAGCTCCTCCACCTTCACGACCTTCGCATTTTGCATGGTTCTTGGTGTTTCATATACGTGGACAGAAGGCCACAGGGTGCCCACAGCGGTTGTAATTCAGAACGTGCTGC